CTAATCTCATTTTCATCATTTTAGAAATATCAAAATTTAAACTTTCCATCGGCCTATAATTAGGTAAAGGCCATCCCTAGACAATACTGATGGTAACTCAGACCAAACGTGAGACGGATTGTAATACATTTTTGAAATTTGAAATATCGAGTTAAGTGCATCTAAACGCAACTTTAGTCTGAACTGCATGTGGGCGCGATTTTGTCAACAATTGCGTCTCTACACATTCGATTGTTGCGATTTAGACGCAAACAGAACACGATTAAGACATGTTTTGACTCAAAAAAATATTTACATGGATTATTACATTGAAAAAAATTTGAATTTGAGATTAGAATAAAACAAAGCTAACGACCTTAGATAGAATTAATGACAATGCGATAGACATATTTAAAATATCAGTCGGTAAGTAGACATCAAGGACAACGTTCTTATATGTATATTTAAAAAAAGTCATGAGCATTTTATTGCAGATTACAGATATGTATAAAGATGCAAAAAAATAACAACTATAGCAGTTTCAAATAACCGAGTATCATCATCATTTCAACATCGAAATACATTCATACAAATATAACTATGTTAGCTATTGGATATGTGAGTCTCTTGATAGTTTTACTTGCGAAGAATGTTGGTAAGTTCAAAAGATAAAAACAGAAAATAATCATACGATTTTTTTCTAGCTGGCAACTGTTTGGTTACTAAATATTGTGGTGTTGGTCGGTGTTGTTCGGCATTTGGCGTCTGTGGTACAGGAACTCAATATTGTGGTGGCGGTGGTTCTTCACACTTAGGATGGTCAAGTCCACCATATATTGATAATGATTGTCGCATTGTAGGTTGTCGACCAGGTCTTTGCTGTTCATCTTATGGAAGGTATGTATTTTATACTTTCGCATACAGTATTTAATATAATATAGTAGAAATGAATTAGCTTCGAATAGTCATCATTTTAAATTTTATTATTTTTATCTGTATAGATGTGGAAGTGTAGCCACTTATTGTGCTACTGTTTCGTATAGCAATTGTGGTACTAAATCATGTGGTGTTGGTCTTTGCTGTACACGATTTGGATAGTATGTTGATTCATCCATATTTTATATTTGATAGAAGATGTCATTTTGAATGATTCTAGTTGTGATAGAGTCGGCGCTTCTTGTGCATATAAAAAATCAAGCACTCAAAGTCAACCAGTATCACTCGAAGGTAAATTTAAAGGACAAGCAACATATTACAATGAAACCAAGGTCGGTACACAATACTCAACATGTGGCGTTGAACGAAGACTGTCGTTGGATGAAAGTAATCAAAAAGTTTATGGCGCTGCTCTTAATCAAGCACAATTTGATCCATATACTGTCCGTGGTATTCCAAGCTCAAACCCAATCTGCCAAAAGAAAGCACTGGTCAAAGGTCCAAAAGGTGAAATTGTTGTTCGATTTATTGATCGATGTCCTGACTGTAAAGGAAGTATGTATTTTTTGTATAAAATTGCCTTACTTTATTTTTATCATTCATATATATATATATTCATTTTTTTGTCTCTTAGATGATATTGCTTTAACTCGAGAAGCCTTTATTGAAGTTGCCGGAGAACTTGGTATTGGTCAAACATTTGTCGAATGGTATTTTATGTAAAATAAAACCATCTATTAATAAGATTTGAACAGCAAATGAAACCAAATATATATCATTATAAAACAAAAATCTTAACATGAAACTTATTGCTTTCTGCTTTTTTTCTTTTTAAATTTCTTGTGTTGATATACTTTCTTTTTATACTATTAGATCTATTATATAAATAAAAAGTTATTATCATCACTTACATATATACATCATCTCTTTTTACATGATAGAACAAAGAAGATGCTATATGAGATCACATCTTTAAGAAATTAATCTTGTTTATAACAAATATATAAGAGTTTTTAAAATTTAATCAGTCCACATGAACTCCTAATTTGAGAGTAACTATATTTATATAAGAGTATATTCATCTAAAGTATACCGCGTTTACATCGAAGTTCGGTACCAGCGATAGGACCTAGTATATCTTGTAGAGAGCTGTTCTCTCATTATTACAATCTATATATTGAAACACCTCCCATTGATGCGCGACTTGAGATTGTAAAAAAATGATTAGATCCAATCAAAAGAACTTTTTAATCTATAAGCAGAAAAAATTAAGAAAAGACCTATTTGAAAACATTTATCAAATGAAAATACTGCGCATGCGTCTGTTTCAGTTCATCCACATTGAGACTGTCAATTAATCAATTAGAGAAAAAAGACATGGAAGAAAACGGAGAAATAGATAAATAATTTTATAATACATCTGATGATTATTGAAGAAACGAAATATAGAAAGCAGTGTAAGGAGACGAAAAGACACCATAAGAATGAAAACTCATAACTTTTATCGGTAATACCCTGAAATTATATTTGAAAAGCAGGAAAAACTGTGTGTGTTAAAGTACTTGATTCATCGAACGATAGTTTAAATACAGAGTTCAGCTTTTATTAAAAACAAGGATACTAACATGTTTCGGCAGCCTATACAGAAAATCAATAATGAAAAAAGCGAAACTAGGCTAAAATTTGAGTACAGCACTGTCAAGACGATGAACTAACACACACTATTTTTTAAACATAACTTCTTCAAATAAATTGAAAATGAAATTTCTGCAGATTACACATACATCACCGTGCTAACCAATGTGCTTATGGAATATATAACCTGAAGAAAAACTTTGAAACTATTATAAAAATAACGATCTAAATATGAATCGCTGAAAACTTCGTTAAAAATCTAAAAAAGCAACTTATAACTAATCAATACACAAAAATAATTTAACAGAGTTGTTACCTCGACAGTATCATTTTATCTACAGCTCTTTCACCTTGCTCAAGAAATCTTTTTAAACAAATAAAACTTGTTCGAATTTGCTTGGGCTTGTTCTTTTTGTTTTACAACTATTTCATTCATGCGTAATTTTCAAATACATTTTCCTTTGCAATAGTCATAAAATTTATCTTTAAAACGGACGTTTTTACTGACAATGCAAATCTATATCTTCATTCAACTTTTTTTGCGAAAAAGCTTGTTTTCTCCAGAGAAAACGCATAAAAAGCAACGCCTTCTACCACATTTGTAAAAAAAAAGACCTCTTTAAAAAAACATAGATTAACAATAGGACGCGTTCTAGCGCATTTACAAAAAAAACGCCTTGAGATGCATGGCAAATACAAGCGTCCGAATTCATAGAAGTAAACCCGTTTGAACGATGTTTTAAGATGGCATTTTAAGTTGAAAAAACGCGTTGTAAATAAACAGGATTCATTTCAACGCATTGCAAATACAAGACGATGTATTTAGACCCATTGCAGACAAAAAAAACGGTGTCTTTAAACGAAAAAATAGCATTTTTCCTCAAAATTTTGCATTAGGCGCTGTTTTGTATGATCTTGTTTCTCGTGGGAAGAGGATACTAATAGTGGCCTAGATATTGAATTGGTTTACGATGTTGTATATAAAATGATGGCAACTATTCTAAGAAGTATAGTAAATAATAACAAAATCAACCGAACAATAAAACTTAAACGTGGTTTGGGAACGTAACATAGATAGTCACAGTTGAGTACAACAAAGCGATTTATGGATCGACTGCATAACAAAAAACGGGCGCCATTCACAGTCACACTACTATCATCTATCA